CATCTTTTTCTCCCATTCCTCAATTCCAATTCAAATGTAATTAGCTCAGACAGACAGCAGCACCAGTTTCCAAACACATTGCCAAGTCTCAGTTCTCTCACATCTTCTCCTTTCTGTGATTACCCCAAGAGTATCCCTCTTGATCTTTTCATCAAGGCTGTATGTAAGCAGACTTTTTCTAAAGTTTCACTCTCTAATACACAGATTCTTCAAGATTTCTAAAACTGTCACCCAGGCTCATATCACCGTGCATCTGAATTACTGCAATGTTCTCCCTCAGCCTGGACAAATGTAATCTGTCATCTTTCATAGCATTCAAAATGCTCCTGTGAAGTTCATTTCCTGAGCCCATCATCTGCCCGTGTCATTCTTACCTATGCATCCATCCACTGGATATCGTTTCCCTACCGCATCAGTTATAGCTACTTACTCTCATTTCCAAGAAATTTCAAAGTCTAATTCACCCCCCTTCAGTCCTCTCCAAGTATTTCTTATTCTGTATCCAACATCTCATTATGCTTGCCCTTTATGTCTGACTTGTTAAATGCGAGGATCTTTGTTCTTCTTCCTCTAGCATGCTTCTCTGTAAACATCCCTGAATGAATAGTATAAGACAATTGAAAATATTACATTCATTGTCTGAGTCCAAGATTAGAAACACTGAGGTTCTGAATTCAAAATGCTGTAAGAGTAAAGCTGGGTGAATAATTTACAGCATGGAATTTATTTAATGCATTTTGCTTAATTTTCTGTTTACAAAATGGTGGATTTGGTATTCAGAAGCACTCACTGAATAATCCTTGCAAATTATTCTTGCCACGTTGCTTAAAAACTAGCAAGTTTGAAAATTATTCTGTTTTGATGTATATATAGGTCACATGATACATTTCTGTAGCCTAGTTACAGGAGTATATCTCTGAGGCAGACTGTGGGTACAAATACTGGTGATTAAATATCTAAAATTTACTGCCTGACAGTAACTTCTAAAATTATAGGCATTGTGGTGGTGATCATTCCTAGCAATAAACTTAGCTTCCAGAATATCATCTGAAACAAATGAAAAAGATATAAACACATGAGCTATTTTTATTTAAAATGCAAGTAATTTTTCAAAAGAATTGTCATTTTATTTTAATCCTGATTTTGGAGAGAGTCCAATGGAGGGCCACGAGGATGATTAAGGGACTGGAACATCTCTCATATGAGGAAAGGCTGAGAGACCTGGGGCTGTTTAGTCTGGAGAAGAGAAGGCTGGGAGGGGACCTTATCAATGTCGATAGATATCTGAAGGGTGGCTGTCAGGAGGATGGAGCCAGTCTCTTTTCAGCAGTGCCCAGTGATAGGACGAGGGGAGATGGGCATAAACTGCAGCACTGGAAGTTCCATCTCAACATGAGGAAAAACTTCTTTACTGTGAGGGTGACGGAGCACTGGAACAGGCTGCCCAGAGAGGTTGTGGAGTCTCCTTCTCTGGTAACCTTCAAAACCCGACTGGACGTGTTCCTGTGCAACCTGCCCTGGGTGATCCTGCCTTGGCAGGGGGGTTGGACCAGATGATCTTCAGAGGTCCCTTCCAAACCCTACCATTCTGTGATTCTGTGATTCTGTGATTCTGATTCTCTAAGGAAAAGCAAAAGGGTTTATTGCCTGAGTTTTGCCTTTCTGCAATGCTCAACTGAGTCATTTTCGCCTAACCCCACAGTAACTTTTTTAGACTTGTTTAAAAAAAAAAAAAAATATTTGGGGGGAGAAAAAAAGGTATGTACAGCTCCAAAATAGCCACAGTACACACTGCCTTGCTCATGGGTGGGCTGTGGAGGAAAGCAGGGGCTGTGTAGGGAGGCTCAGGGGACATGGGAAAGCACGGAGATGGAGGAAAACCCAGGATGAAAGGATCTGAGAAAGAACTGGCTATATTAAGGCTGTAACAATGGAGAAAGGGTGTTCAAGGTGTAAGACATCCTTCCATAGAAAAACAGGTTTTGTTTATTCCTCCGCTCATAGAATTAAATGGGGTCCTTAACTTTTTGGAGTGTTTATTCCTTTTCTGAATGCGTAAGTCATATCTTGCCTAGGTGAAAGGCAGTAAGCCAGGTTCTAAATGATAAAATATTCACGACCTATGTATAAATATTCCTTCCTAGTGTTCTCACTGGACTCAGCCAGCCTTCCTTCCAAATAGGTCATAGAGTTTTACATACTTTATTTCCTATTCCCATGCAACCATAGTTTTTAACAAATAACGTCCTGAATGCCTCAAAACAGCTAACTAAAATTAATCTGGGAAAACACGAACTACACCCATGTACCAGACATAGCATGTGAAACAGGGTCACTAGATATCACTCTTGACTGTGGGTCAAAAGTTCTTTAAGTCCCATTCTCAGAGCTGGCTTGAGATCCAGTGCACTAACATCCAATAAATACAAATTGAGATCAAACTTCCAGTCTTTTCTATGTCACTGTAACAATTTTCAAACGAGGGTTGGTACCTTCCATTGCAGTTCTCTCCCAACATGGCCTTTGGCTTCAGAGCATTAGTAATACAAACACCGAGCCCAGGAGCACGAAACTTATTTACAGTGTGATCTTTTACTTTGGTATATTGTCCTACCAACCTATATCTATACCATAGAATCACAGAATAGTTTGGGTTGGACCTTTTAAGGTCATCTAGTCCAGCCCCCTGCAATGAGCAGGGACATCTTCAACCACATCAAGTTGCTCAGAGCCTCGTCCAACCCAACCTGGAATGGTTCCAGGGACGGGGCACCTACCACCTCTCTGGTCAACCTGGGCCAGTGGTTCACCACCCTCATTGGGAAAAATGTCTTCCTTAGATCTAGCCTAAATCTGCCCTCTTTAGTTTAAAACCATTACTTCTTGCCCTACCACTTACAGGCCCTGCTAAAAAGTCTGTCCCCATCTTTCTTATAAGTCCCCTTTAAGTAGTGGAAGGCTGCAATAAGGCATCCCTGGAGCCTTCTCTTCTCCAGACTAAATAACCCCAACTCTCATCCTGTCCTCACAGGAGAAGTGTTCCATCCCTCTGATCATTTTTGTGGCCTCCTCTGGACCCGCTCCAACAGGTCCATGTCTTTCCTGTGCTGAGGGCTCCAGAGCTGGACGCAGGACTCCAGGTGGGGTCTCACCCGAGTGGAGCAGAGGGGCAGAATCACCTCCCTCAACCTGCTGGCCACGCTGCTTTGGATGCAGCCCAGGAGACAGTTGCCCTTCTAGGCTATGAACGCACAGTGCTGGATCATGTCCAGCTTTTCGTCCACCAGTACCCCCAAATCCGGAATGGTTCCAGGGACGGGGCACCTACCACCTCTCTGGTCAACCTGGGCCAGTGGTTCACCACCCTCATTGGGAAAAATGTCTTCCTTAGATCTAGCCTAAATCTGCCCTCTTTAGTTTAAAACCATTACTTCTTGCCCTACCACTTACAGGCCCTGCTAAAAAGTCTGTCCCCATCTTTCTTATAAGTCCCCTTTAAGTACTGGAAGGCTGCAATAAGGCATCCCTGGAGCCTTCTCTTCTCCAGGCTCAACAACCCCAACTCTCATCCTGTCCTCACAGGAGAAGTGTTCCATCCCTCTGATCATTTTTGTGGCCTCCTCTGGACCCGCTCCAACAGGTCCATGTCTTTCCTGTGCTGAGGGCTCCAGAGCTGGACGCAGGACTCCAGGTGGGGTCTCACCCGAGTGGAGCAGAGGGGCAGAATCACCTCCCTCAACCTGCTGGCCACGCTGCTTTGGATGCAGCCCAGGAGACAGTTGCCCTTCTAGGCTATGAACGCACAGTGCTGGATCATGTCCAGCTTTTCGTCCACCAGTACCCCCAAATCCTTCCCGGCAGGGCTGCTCTCAATCCCTTCATGGCCAAGCCTGCATTGATACTATGTTCAGTTCTATCTGTGGTATGTATCATAACTTTTCAGCCACAATTATTATTTAGATGGTTATTTAATATTTTTTGATCCCTTTTAAAGTGTATTAGAGGCCAAAAGTTAAAGGGATAGAACTCTTGTGAAGACTTTTTCTCTATATCCTGTCAACAAATTCTATTTAAAAGAGTTTGAAAACTGGTGATTTAGTTTGCAAGCCTCAGACAGAAAACTAAGTCAATATATAAGTTTACAATTACTTTTTTTTTCTTTGGTGCATTCAGTTATTAAAAGAAATTTGCTCTGCTTTTCCTATCACAAAATTAAAGGTATTCCATATGCAAAACATATTCTCTGTAGATTTCACAGGATAATTACACACATAATATCTTAACTGCATTTATTAAATTCTACCTGCCCTCTTTTTTCTCTCAAATACATACTGGGCACCAAATACACTGAAAAGAAGTGAAGGTGATGGATGTCTGTAACAGGACCAACACATGCGTCACCTCCTTTTCTGAAGAGCAGCAAAGGAGTATAGCACCCCAGTGCCATGTCCCACTTACTCCATTTACTGTGAATGGAGATCTGCTGTCCTCTTCCTCTTTTTCAATGGAAGTGTAAATCTCTTATAACACTTTTTTTTAGTGAATGCTCTGATCTTTATGGAAAATTTTCTTTTTTTCAAGGGAAAGATAAGTGCCTAAACCCTAAACCATTCAAGTTTCAGGTGAAACAGAAAGTATTTGAGTGCCTTCCAGGAGCTGCAGCTTGGGCTAGGATCATCACTGTGCACTTCATCACCCTTAGGACACTGTGGCTGATGTGTCACCTAAAGGAAACCAGGCTGTAATACAGGAGGTGTACGTTCCCATAGGAAAATGGGAATGTGAAGCATATATTCTCATGGGGGAACCATAATGACAGCTCAGCATCAAAGTATTTGATTTTCAGTGGGCATATTTCACATTTTTTTTTTTTCATGTGAAACAAAAATATTGCCTTTCCATTTTTATAGGCAAGGTCTGTGATTTAGGAAGATGGCTACTGGGATTTTTTTCTACCTTAGTTTCATTAGATTTTGTTAACTTAGGACTTGAGCTATTACCTTGTAGATATCCAGGAATCCACACTGATGGTCAAACCGCGTGTAGAGTTCATTCAGCATGCTGATGACCTGCATGGGCGTGCACTGCGCACAGATGGCAGTGAAGCCAACAATGTCCGAGAAGAGCATGGTGACATCATCAAACTTCCTGGCTTGAACCTGCTGCCCCTGCCACAACTGCTGAGCCACTTCTTCAGGGAAAATAGAAATAAGGAGATCTACTGTTTTCTTTTTCTCCTCTTCCAGGGCTTGGTGTGTGCATTCTAGCGTTGCCTTCAACTTATCCATTCGTTTTTTCAAGCCATCCTGTGCCTTTGCTTGCTCCCCAACCAATATGACATCACGAGTAGCATCATGGATAGGTATGTCCGAAAGATGGAGGCCTCGGCCCATCAATTCATCCAGCTTGTCCACACAGGGGGAACCCAGAAACAAAATTGAATTTGATTCTGGCACATGAATCATTTGTCCTTTAATTTCCATTACCTGCAAAATAAACATAGAGTTTATAAAAGGAAAAATTAGCTGATAAATGTGGATCCCCATTCTACTTGCTCTTCAATTAAAATGATAAACATAAACTGTAATCTTTTATACAGAAGCCTCTTACACTCACCTATTCAAGTAATGAGACTCACATAGTCTACTCACCAATGTGCTTCAGAAAATAGCCTATACTGACACAAAAGTACTCCCAATTCAATTGTTGGATTCTATTTCAATCCAATCAAATAAGAAAGCAATCACAATAACACATATTTCTCAGAATGATGTGTAAATAATGCTTCTAAATTTTGCTCCTGGAATGTACCTGGTCTTAAAAGTAAATTCCAGAGTAGCTCCTTCTCTGTTACTTAGCTACAAATTATAAAAAGCACAAAATTAAAGGAAAATGACAACTATCTGAAAGCAGAATAGTGAAATAGTGAAGTAACTTCCAACTTTTTCAGCAATATAGCTACTAAGACAAATGTGGCCACGTTACAGAGGAACCACGTGAGAAAGAACTCTATAAAATAATGAATGGCATGGAAAAAGTGTACCAGTGCTCCTATTTCCTATTTGCCTTCTCATACTTGCAGCAGAGTTGAAGGCTGACATTCCGTTAGAGTCTGCAGATTTCTTGGTGATACAGATTCACGTAATTTGTATTTGCAGAATAGAAGAAGGAACAATAGGAAAGGAGTAGCAGGTGGTTCATCACACTGGTTTATAGATTTCGCATTTGCCTGTTAAATGGCTAGATGTTTTCAGTGCTGTCCAGTGGTTGATACCAGCGAGGTCCTGCCTTGTTACGTCCTGCTCCATGATGGCAATCAAGCACAAAACTATTAGATTGAAATGGACATTGAAAACCAACTGTAATGATATATTTGACATTTTGGGCTACAGACATTCTAATTTTACAAAAGTAACTGCCAATCACTGTAAAGGGATATTTCTCACCTGAATATAGTACTTAAAAAACAAAAAAACCCCAAACAAACAGAAAACTAAGATGAATATGTTTTGTTTAAGCAGAAAATAATTAAATCAGATAAACAGGATCTGTTTGTAAATACAGCTTGCCATAGTCTCTGACATAAAAAACAATCACAGTTACTGTTTGCATTCCAGGACTGCACAAAGATCAGGGTAATACTGTGCTAGAGGTGATCTAAAAAAACCACAATCCTTACTGCAAGGATCTCATAGTCAAAACAGGCACAAGACACAAACCTTGTGCATCTAAGCATAGTGTTAGGCACCATAATGCCTTAAATCTCTATTTTTCTATTCCACACAATCCACTGAAATAAAAAGGTCTCCTCCAGTCACGCTGTCTTTCATTGTGTAGGCATTCCCTCAGTCTCACATGATTCACTTTATCATTTAATCCTCCTTCCATCCACAATCCTCCCAAGCAAAATACAAAAACTTCAACCAGGGAATCCAGAGGTGTCTGTAATAATGATGTGATTTAAGTGTCCAGAGGCCTGGAAGCTCCTGCTGAGCTGACAGCTACGCCTACATGGTACTTCCCATGTTTGGGGGAGATGTTGGGAAGCTCCTCTTTCTGTTAGGGATTTTTTACATCAGATAATATGCTGGCATCGCAGATCCCACTGTCAATGTGGGGACTGAGCCTGTCCTGTCCCCATGCCCCTCTGCCTCCATACCCCACCCTGTCAGCAACCCAACAGGTGTAACTGCTGCTGTCAGCCTGGGAACTCAGCAAAGGAAAGTAAATGAAAGTAATTAAAACTGTCAGTTTTCCTAATTTCTATTCCTGCACACCTACTAATATTTACATTTCTAAGCATTCTTTCCTCAGGTTCATTCTGGCACAGCCATGTCTGTGAGAAAGCCTGACAACTCCCTAGATGGGACGATTTAATGCTCCAAAACTAATTGTGTGTTTTAATTTTTAAAACATATGGCTCCCTGCTCAAAATATAAGGGAAATAGGTGCTTTCTTCATACGTGCAGCCTCACACTTTCAAAGGACACATACAAAATTGTTTTAACTCTGAAATACGAATTGCCAAATGTGAAATGTGTGGCATTTCTTAATTCTCTTCTTTCGTTCCCCTTTGCCAGAGAGTTTTTCTGTTTTCTATTCCTAGAACTTCACAGGAGTGCAAAATAAACTTATCTCATATTATCACTTCTGTCTTCCACCTCCAGGTGAAAATAGGGTGTCAGTGCAGGAGGAGAGTGTGACCACAGACCCCGGCTGAGCCAGCCTGGCCTGGGGTGGGATGCTTGTCAGCGAGGCGGCTGGCGGCTGGCTCGTGTTTCTTCTGTGAACCTGCTGTGAGACTAGAAGAAAATTAATGCACCCCTCTGTGCTCCTGCTTCACCTTTGTCAATTTGATGTGTTAAACTCTGATGCAATCTCTGTCCGTGTGAATATACTGTGCCAGCCCTCCCCGGGTGGATCCTTCTCAGGCAACACTGATCAAGTGACTAATGTACTAAACGGGCACTCTGGAGTCTTCTCCTCTGCTTCTGGGTAACCCCAGGCAAATTATCAACTCTGAGTGCTTATTTGGCCTTTCAGCATAGCCGGAGCAATGATATTGAGCACCATAACACACTCTGAGATTCATGTGTGAGAAGCAATAGAAGACACAGACAATCCAGTAAAAAGCCTAATAATAACCTGTTCTTCTGCCCAAGCGAGCTGACCCCCTGCTTCAACAAGGTTGAGGGTTTCTAGAGCATTTTCAGAAACCTTTCGCAAAGATATTCTCCCTACACAACTGCTTAGTTTCCTGAAAGTGTCAAAGGTTCAGTGCTTTTTTGGCTTTATCCTATGAATATTATTATCATTTGCTCTGCTTGACAGGAATTGCTGATTTTCCCATCACTCCTTTCATGTTGTATTAGTGATTCTGATGTCCTGCTCTCTCTTTATGACTGAGGGTTTTTTTTAGAAACTGGCCTGCTAGTCTCTTCAAGTTGCCAAATCAGGTAACTGGACAGCAGAAAAAAAGCTACTTTCTCCCTCAGCTTACCTGGGGAAAAACACTCGGGTCTTGTAAAACACAATAGTAGAGAAGAGCGAAGACTGCATCACTCTTCTCAGTTTTTGCAAAGCCCTTTCCATTCCAAAGAAGTT